GTCCTCCCCACCCTCCCACATCTATACTCAGTCCCCCAGCTCTACACGGGTCCTCCCGGCCCTCCCGGGTCTATACTCTGTCCCCTCCCCCCCGGGTCTACACAGGTCCTCCCCACCCTCCCGGGTCTGTCTGCTTTTCTTAGGCAAAGGCTCTGCTCCTGAGACAGGAGGGAGGAGGACGGCTGGCTGGCAGAGAGGACTGGCTATGACCTGAATCCCCGAGCTGGGTGGGAACAAGGGTGCCCTGAGGTCGGGCTTGCTGTGGGGGGTGTCACGGAGTGTCAGCAGGACACCAGCCTCAGTGTCTTCTGATGGCCCAAAGCCCCTGCCCCTGGAGCCGAGATTCTGGTATTAGTCCCTGAATCTTGGCAGGGAGCACCCCAGAGGTGGTGTCACCTGCACACACCTGCGGGGACAGGACACTTGTGCGGCAGCTTCCCGTGGTGGCCTGTTTCTCTTCTGTGCTTCAGTGGGACAGGGGAGGCCCCAGGGCCACTTTCCTGCCTGGTGTGAGACCAGGGTGGCCTTGGGCAGGGCTCTGATGACCCTGTTTCTGGGGGTGGAAGGAGGGGCAGCCACACTGGCTTGGAGCCTTCCTCAGGGCCCCACGGCGCCCCCACACCAAAGGCCTCTTGCTCCCTGGCCCCTGGGGACCCCACTGCACAGCCAGGCTGCTGCACTTGGGCAGGCGTGAGGGGTCGGGGGGACAGGGAGGGGCCAGCTGGGGTGGAAGGTGGGGTCTGAGCCGGCGAGGGAGAGAGCGGCACCTGGCCTGCCCTGAAGCCGGCGTGTGGCCTCGTCCTCAGGCTGGGGGACCAAAAGGCGCAGGCAGCTGCTCTTGCCCACTGGAGGTTCTCACGGGATCCCCAAGAGGCAGAGCGGGGACCAGAGATTACGTGCGGGAAGTTGATCTGGGGCAGTGGCCCCAGGACCAGGAGGGCACTAGGCCGGGTGAGCTGGGGGTATGCTGGGCACTATAGGGTCGGCCTCGCTGTGCCCGGGCTGCAAGGGACAAGGCTTCCCCGCTCACCCCTGCAGACCTGCACTCACAGCTGTGGCCCGACCGCCTGCCTGGAGGTTTCGGCAGCTCCCCTCATGAAAACGGGCCTAAAGGGTGTGTGCGAAAGGTCCCGCCGTGGCTGATATCAGCCATGACTGCCCTTCCAGGTTTCTGTTTTTCTCTGCGTGGCTGCACTCACAGTCGGTTCTCACCAAAGGAAATCCCAGCCCAGAGGGAGCTCGATGTGCCGTTCGTGGACCCAGTGCCAGCTGTTACCGAGAGCCTCAGTTCCTGGGGTCCTGTGTTCACCAGAGGGAGGGAACCCCACGGGGGCTCCTCCCAGCTTTCCCTTGGCTGAGATCTGCAAGACCCTCCTCTGGTCCCTGGTGCCATCTCTCTGGGTTTTCACTTCTGCGGGTTCTGTGGGCTGTGTGTAATCCATGAATATTGTCCCTCTCGGGGTCTGCAGGAGAACCGGGGCCCCTTTCCCGGGTCTGAAGAACACCGGCCCTGTTCTCGTTGAAATCAGCTCCTGCGGATCCTGCCTGAGGTTCTGCCTGAACTGAGTTCCAGAAACCTTTCCCAGTTGCGCGCATGTGATTTCTCCTCGGTGTCTCCTGTCGGGAGCTAGCCGGGTAAAGGGGAGTGACGGTTTGTTGCACGTGGTCCCGTCGTCTTCAGCAGCCTTCCTGGGAGCGGTCTCTCCGTGTCTCCTTGGGCGGGTGCAGCCCTCTCTCCCGCCGGCCAGCTGTGGGTTTGTGGTTTACTTTCAAGGCATTTACCGAATGTGGTTGGAGCTGTTGCCCTAGAGGCTGGTGAGGATTTGGTTCTTAAATGCATCTAATCACGTAAGTGCAGGTTGCTTAATCTAGTTCGTGGAAACATCGTGTGGAAACATGAGGACGAGATTCAAAGTCTCTCAGCCACACGGAGCCCCGGTCCTCGAGGGCGGCTGGGCTCCGTTGGTTCGGTGGGGCCTGCCTGAAGTTTTTCACGCCCCCTGAAATGCTTCTGTGCCCTTGGAAACGCCATCCTGGAGACGGCCATCTGCAGAAGTGAGGATGTGGCTGAGGTTTTGATTTTTACTTCGCTTAACACGAGATTCTGTGTTTCGTCCAATCTAAAATCCTGGAGGCGGTCCCAGCACTGCGATATGGTCATTGCATTTTTTTTTAAAGCTTTGAGAATTTCGGTTAGAGGCCTGAGCCGTAAACCGCACACATTCTGATAAGCGCATCAGCAGCAGATGTGTGTGGTGGCGGCTTCTTTCTCATGATTGATCCTGTTTTGGAAAGCAGTGCTGCCTGCCCACGTTTCCCTCAAGAGTGGGGTGGGCTGGTGGGGTGGACAGGGTGGGCGCCGTGCTGAGTCCTGGGGCCAAGGCTCTCCAGGGCAGCTGTGGTCCAGCCCTGCCCGCCTCATACAGCTTTCTTGAGGCCCCATCTTCTCCCGAAAGTCTTGTCCCCAGAAGGGGCCCCAACGACCTCTCTTACGGACTCCCACTTTCCTTTTGAGGTTGTTGGGGTGTTTGGTGGTGTTCGTGAGCCCCTGGGCAGCTTGTAGGTGAAATAACTTTGGTGGGTATATGCAGCAGTGACAAATGTGTTAAAACTGTTTGCTGATTAAAACCTCATCCTTTGGAGGGTCATCAGGTCGGTGGCAACCGGAGAAAGTTCCTTCTCAGTCAGAAGGGCGGCTGTGTGAGAGCTGGCACCTCAGGGACGGCAGTCTCCTGGACGGTGCCCGGCAGCCGCAGCATCGTAGGAAGAGCTCTGCTTCCCGGGCTGTTCCCACTGGCCCCCGACTACACAGGCAGAGGACGCAGGAGGGTCTGAGAGAGCCGTGTCCCCACCCCGCTGTGCTGCGTGGTCCCTGGGACGTCCTGTCCCTGTCTGCTGTCTCCCGCCCCCCCGCCTCCCCGGGTCCCTCTCTGGCCCCAGCACCGCTGAGACGGCCCCCCTCCAGCCTGACACCCTCACGGGGCATCGCCCCAAAGCAGCTGAGGTTGGCAGTGAGGGGTCACCTGGTCCAGGCTTTTAATGTTGGACATCCCGAAAGCCCTGGGAGAAACAGTGGGAGCCTCAGCAGGTCTCCTGTCCCCATCCACGCCAGGCAACACCGAGTTCAAGTCCCTGCTGCCAGCCCTGTGGCCCTAGCCGTGCCCTCTCCCTCCGGCCTCCTTCCTGTGCCCTCCGTGGGGACTGTGCCCGGTGGGGGGCCGTGTCCACCTCACCGGCTGTCACTGAGCACGTAGGGCACCCAGGAGTCCTCCACAGGACGGGGTCCCCTCGCGTGACCAGGCCCCTCGGCCCTGGGTTTGAGGGTGCTGCCGTGTCCCAATGACAGCTGGAGACAAGGAGGTGCCCCATTGTGGGGGCCGGTGCTTCCCACCCCTCCCTGTCCCTTCCCTGACCTCCCCAGCCTGCTGGCCCGCCTTGGAGGGCAGTGTTGACAGATCCCAGGTCCACCACGGCGGCAGCCTGACCGTCCCCAGGACGTTGGCCCAAGCAGCCAATGTGATGCGGCCTGCGTGGCTGCAGAGGGGCAGAGGCTGGCCTGTGCCAGGAGGGTTGTCTGCCTGCTTCTCTCGGTGCCAGATTCTCCATGGGGCCCGCCCAGCCAGCCCACCATGGGTCTAGGGAGTGGGTGCGGGGAGGGTCTGGGCTGCAGGTGTCCAGAGCGTGCACGTCAGACTCCTCTCCCCTGGGCCTCACACGCCCCACTCACAACACCAGCGGCCCTCAGGCGGCCAGGTGGGCTCGGAGCCCCTGCTGCCCCATCCTCTGGCCTGTCGGCCGTGCGGGCTCTCCTGGGCCATGCTGCCGCCCTCGAGCTGGGTCTGCATTCAGGACACGTGCTGGCAGGTTGCCACCTTTCCCCAGGAGAGGAGGGGTCCAGAGGCCCCTCCTGTGCCCGTGGTCCAAGCCCCCCATTAGGAGCTGGAGTCCCTGTGTGTGTCTCGAGCCAGGCTGCCAGCAGTCCCCAGTGCGATCCCAGGCCCTGCTGCTGGTGCATCCCAGCTGGCTTTAAAGCAGGAAGAGGGAGGAGCTGGGGAGAGCTGCTCTTTTGTTTTAGAAGGTTCCGGAAGGAGCCGGGTGTTGAGTAGGAACACAAAGGTTGTCAAGGGATTGGCATTTCATGAGGGGACCTGCTGGGGGTGGGGGGGCGGGGCAGAGGAAGGATGGGGACACATGGAACCCCGCTTGGCTTGCGGGGGCCAGGGGCACTGTCGTGGGCGGCTGGGCAGTGCACTCCTTCCTGGAAGCCGGCTCCCTGGTGCCTGCCTCAGTGAACGTGCTGGTGTCCTGGTGTCCCAGGGAGATGAGCGTGTGCACGGCTGCTCAAGCCGCCCCGCACCCTCCCCCCGGTTGGACAGTTAGTTGGGGAGGCGGAGGGCGCTGTGCTTCCTTGGTGGGAGGGGGCGGGGAAGATTGCATCAGGGGGCCACTGCCCCCTAGGGAGCAGCCACCAGCGTGTCCTGCACTGCCCCCCCGCCAGCCCTGGGAAAGGCTTGTCCTGCTGTCCTCAGGAGTGCCGGCCGGCACGGGGCTCGCGTATGCAGAAGGGGCTCAGCAAATGCTTGTTGAAAGAAGACTGGACCCCACCGGCCAGTCTGCTCCCGGCCCAGACCTTCCACACCTGCAGGGGGCGGGGGGACAGCAGAGCACCCACGGGGCTCCCCCAGGGTCTGGAGCTGGGGTCTGCCACACTGGAGCGCAGGCGCAGAGTTGGGAAACGGGTCTGTGGTCGATCAACTTTGACCCGTGCTCAGGTGGCAGTTAACCTGGCCCTTCCGCACAGGCTGTCTTGCCAGGCACTGGGTCCCCTGGAGCTCTGGCGTCTGTGTAGCCCCTTCCTCATTTACCAGGGCGAACACTGTCCCCGGGTCCTGGAGGCAAGGGGGCTCTGGGCCGGAGCCCACCCACTGTGGGTGTCGGAGCTCCCGAGGCAGCGCACCCATGTCCTGAAACCCTGACAGGTGGGTTGCCTTGATTTTCAGGGAGCAGCGGCATGCAGGGCCCTGCAGGAGACAGACCCCGAGCTGTCCCCAGAGGAGAAGAGGGTGCTCGAGAGGAAGCTGAAGAAGGAGCGGAAGAAAGAGGAGAGGAAGCGGCTGCGGGAGGCAGGCACTGCTGCGGCCCAGAAGCCGCCGGCCAGGCGCTCGGGCGCCGAGCTAGCCCTGGACTACCTCTGCAGGTAAGAGGCCGCGCCCCTCACTCGGGACCTGCTGAGCTGCAGCGGGGGACTGGCAGGACCATCCCCCTAGGGTCTCTGGTGTCCTGGGCGGGCCGCAGGCTGTGGATTCAGGTGACCTGGATCAGATCCAGCTTTCCTGGGACCACCGGCCATGCAGCAACCCATCGCTTCCCAGCGTCACCTATGCCCTCCAGGTGGCTCGAGACCCGCCGTGGTGGAGTTTTCACCACAGACATCGGGAACGCTGCCGATGGGGGCTACGGACACTGACCAGCACGGCCGTTTCCAGGGAGGGCGGGGAGGGGTGGAGGGAGCTCCCGGGCGGCTCCTCAGAGTCCGCTGTGAAGGGCAGAGGGACGCGGCTGTCCTGGAGCCGTCACCGTCGCTGGCATGCGGGGCCTGGCTCTGCCTGGGCATCGAGCGGCCGGGACAGCACGGCTGCAACCCTCGGAGTTGGCGGGTGACTGTAACCCTCGCCCCAGAACTGGGCCCCCGAGGTGCACCTTGGGACCGCCCAGTTTGCAAACACGCAGCCAGCGACTTTGTGCCAGAGTTTCTAGAAGCTTCTAGGGAAGCAGAGTCCTGTGTCCAGCGGGGCCTCCTGGACTCACTCACCGTGCTGGAGTAGCAGAGTCAGCAAAGCAGATTGTGGTCAGCTCCCCAGGACTGTCCGCCACGGACACGCTGCCTCACCGTTTCTGGGAGCGACGCTACTGAGATGGAACTCACACGCCATACGTCTCGCCCATTTGAAGTTACCGTTGGGTGGTTTTTAGTGTATTCACAGGGTTGTGAAGCCATCACCACGGTCAACTTTAGACATTTTCCAAAACACGCAAGAAGAGGCCCTGCACCCTTAGATCTCACCCCCAAGGCCCCTCCGCTCACTCCCCGGCTCCTGGCAGCCACATAAATGGAGTCGTTTACTATGTGGCCTTGCGTGACCTTCTTCTGTTATTTAGTGCGATGTTGTCCAGGTTCACATACGTGGTAGGTGTCAGGATATCATTCCTTTTTATGGTCAAGTAACATTCCACTGTGTGTGTACACCACACCGTGTCTGTCCACTTGTCCACTGATGGGCACCTGTGTTGTTTCCACCCCTTGGCTGTGGTGAGTGATGCGGCCACAGACATGGGTGTGAGGTTTCTGCGTGGACGTGCTGTCCTTTCTCGCGGGCAGATACCTGGGAGTGAACTCTGGGCTCTGTGGTGGCTGTGAGTTTAAACGTCAGAGGGACAGACTCCCACAGCGGCTGACCTCTTCCATTCCCCCCGGCAGACGGTTCTCATTCTCTGTGTCTTTGTCAGCACTTGTTATTGTCTGACTTGCTGACGATGCCCATCCTGGCAGGTGTGGGGTGGTGTCTCGCTGTGCTTTTGATTCACATTCTGTATAGTGTTGACTGCAAATTTGGGTAACGCAGGAGGCAGCTGAGCCGCCCCCTCTTGGCTCCTCACTGGAGGGGTCACCAGGCGCATCTGACGGACTCAGGGCGCTGCCTCTGCAGGGAGAGGAGGACGGGGTGTGTCCCCAGGGCTGGAGCTGCTCTGAAGGGACAGCTGGCTGGTGGCTCTTTACTCCACACTCGTCAGCGGTGAGCCGGAATCCTGCTGGAGATTCCAGGTGCCTGCTGGGGGCGGGGACGCCGATCAAGCTGTCTGTTCTCTCTACCTGCTGCTCCCCCTCACCCTGAGCAGCTGTCAGAGCTGAGGGACAGGCGGCCCGGCCTGGACCAGCAGCCCCTGTACCCCATCTGCAGACCATCGGCCTTAACGACCCATGGTTGTGTGCCGTGCAGGCCCTTGGGGTCTTCCCGCATTCTGGGCTACCTGGCAGCTGGAGGAGCTCTCCTGGAACCAGCGTGCCATGGAGAGGACTGGCCTGCTCTGACACGTTGACAGACACCCTCTCGGGGTGGGGCCTTCCCACCCCTGGCTGGAGCCCTTGAGCCCTGGGAGCTCGGGCCGTGGAGGCTGGGAGGGCTGGCGGGGACAGAGCTGCTGTCCAGGGGTGGCTAGCACGGCCCATTCGACCAGGGGCTTTCCCCACCTCGGAAGCAGACCACCTACCTGCAGTGGGTTTTCGGGGTCGCGAATCATCCTCGCCCACCAGAAAGCTTTGGGCCACGTCCCGCAGGAAGTAGAGGCGGTGTCATGGCTGGCTGGTGCCTCAGAAATGCTTGGGGGCAGAGGTCACGCAGGTGTCCAGAGGCGTCCAGGGAGGGCACCTCTGAGACTCTCGCAAGGCATGTCCAGCACGGCGTCCCCAGCAGCATCTCAGTCAGCCACTCCATCCTTTGGCCTCCTCCGACTCCTGTGGCCCCGGGAGAGTTGGGGAGGCGCTCAGGTCCCGAGGGTGCATGTATCGGAGGTCAGGAGAGGACCTTTGCTGTTCGGAGCCCTCCACGCCTCCCGACCCCGGGAAACCACATCCACGCAGAATAGCCGGGGCACTGGGGTGTCTTCCCAAAGCAAAGCCCAGGACCGAAGCTGGTTGGTGTGGAGAGACGCTCCAGCCCTGATCGGTGCCAAGGCCGTGCCTCCCCGAGGGGCCAGCGCGAGGGGGCTTCTGCGTCCAGAGGGCAGGCCTCCTCCCTCCTTTCGCGGCCTTGCCACAGCCCGTCACGTCATGTCTTGTCTTTGCCTAACCTTAAGGGACTGCGTGGGTCACGAAGCCAGGTGTCTGAGGGCCCTTGCTCCTGGGAGCATGGAGGCCTCTCCGGTGGTCTCGGCTGGTGGGGCCATCAGGGCTGTTGGCAACCAGGGAGACCAGGCACATCCCGTGAGAGGGGTGACTCCTTCTCAGAGTCAACTGGGAGGTTGGCCGGTCCAGAGGTAGTTACTGTGCGAGTTACCGTCCATGCCGTGTGCCCCTCCTACGAGGTGGGCCCAGAATGACGGGGACCTGCTTGCAGGGAGCTCAGGGCTGGCCCAGACCTTCCACCCAGGACATGTTTCGGTGGGCCCCTCACCATGCTACCCTCAGAGGCTGCAGACTTTCTGGAAAGTCACACCACACCGGGTGTGAAGGAGCTGGCCCCCATGCCGCCCCAGGCAATCCTGTGGGCGAGTCCTGGCCAGCAGAGCCCATCTGGGTGGGCTCTGCACCTGCCTGTCCCTGCTGCCCATCAGAGGGTGTCTGTATCCTCTGTCCCGTGCAGGGGTCTGAGCCTGGGACCTGGCCGCTGCCTCCTCCTGGCCGAGACCTACTCTCACTGTGACCTTTCCCCACTCCCCGGCGCTGCTTGTAGGTCGTGGGGGTGGATTGTTGTTCCGTGGTTCTGCCGTGGCTGCAGCCGCTCGCATTCGACTCTGGCCGGGACACTGAACTCTGTCCTGCTGAGTGCATGTGCACGGGCGGGTCTCAGGGGCTGGCTTGCTGTGCTGTGAGCGTGTGCCCACATGGGGGCCATCCCGAGGCTGGGGAGGACACCCATCTCTGGTCACCTGCTTGTCTGCCTGGTTTCTTCATTATCACAAGCATAGCTCGCAAAAGACACACTGCCCGCCCCACCACCCCGCACCCCTGCCCAGGACCTGGAAATTGGGACTCGCCAGATTCAGCAGTGGGCGCTGGCCAGCTGCACTGCCGGGGCCTGAGACCTGGGCCTCCTGGTCAGGCCCCAGCCTGGTCAGTGCAGAGCAGCAGCCCAGGGCAGGCCCTGGAGAGAGGGAGAGAGGGGGCAGATTGGAGAAATATTTAGGAGGCAAGAACCCACAGGACACCAGATGCATGCCACCTGTGTGCATAGCAGCACTACTCACGGTGACCAACAGGTGGAAGCAGCCCCAGTGTCCGTCGACAGGTGAACGGATAAACACAATGTGGAAAACGGTGAAAGTTGTCACAAGGAGATTCTGACACCTGCTACGACATGGGTGAACCTTGAGGACATTATGCTGAGTGAAATAAGACAGTTACAAAAAGACAATACTGTGTGATCCTACTTACGTGAGGCCCCTGGAACGTCAAATTCAGACAGAGAAAGTAGAGGGTGGGGCCAGGGGCTGGGGGAAGGGGCTGGGGAGTTCGTGTGTAATGGGGACCGAGCTTCTTTGGGAAGATGAAGTTCTGGAGATGGACGGTGTGATGGCTGCACAACGACGTAAATGTGCTCAACGCCCCTGAACTGTGCACTGCCAGGTGGTTAAGATGGCACATTCGTACCATGTGTTTTACTACAGACACACACGCGCAGAATCCACAGGCCACGTGCGGGTGATGAAGAGGGGTGTCAGGTGGCCCCAGCTTTCAGGTCCGGCGACAGACAGGTAGTGATGCCACCAACTGAGAGCAGGAAGACGGGACAGCCGGGGGAGATGCCACCTCTCAGCGTGTGGGACACGTCTCCCTGGACGACATGTGTTTCTCAGGCCGATGCCCAGACCTGGCACTGTGGGTCTCGAAGGTGCACCCTGCAGAGGCCATACCAGCGACCCTCAAGAACAGGCTCTCTCAGCCACATGGGACAGTTACCGATTTCTGAGCATTTCTGGTTGTTCTGGTTCATGTTTCCCCGATTGCTGATGACTATAGAGTGACAGGGGAGACGGTGTCAGAAGCATCAGTGCAGGGGCCAGCCCAGTGGCCTAGTGGCTAAGTTCACATGCTCTGCTTTGGTGGCCCGGGGTTCGTGGGTTCTGCTTCCGGGTGCAGACCTACACACCGCTCATCAAGCCGTGCTGCAGTGGCGTCCCACACACACAATAGAGGGCGACGGACACAGGTGTTAGCTCAGCGACAGTCTTCCTCACAAAAAAAACGTATCAGTGCGGCAAGTCCTCTGACATGACTGAAAACTGTCCCTCGGGCTCGTGGCCAGAGGTCCCTGTGATGTCAGCTGGGGGGTGGGGCCGAGCCTGGACAGGAGGACAGGCGCCTATCGCTCCGTCGGCTGGCAGCAAAGGAGGTGGGGCTGGGCTGCAGGTATTACGCTCCCAGGGCCAAGTGGGTGCCGCTCGGCGACGCAAGCCCGCACCGAGTCCCTGCCACGATATGGGAGCCATGCCTGTGCCCCCTGGAGCACTGCCCCAGCCAGGGGCCTGGGGGTGGGACCTTAGCTAGAACAGGCACCAGCCTTGGGGACAGGCGGCCTGGGCTGGAGCCAGCTCTGTCACTTGTCATCGTGGGTCCTCAAGCTAGTCCTTCTCTGTGGCCTCGGCTTCCTCCTCTGACGTGGGGGCTGACATGGCACCCAGAGCCACCCTGAGAGCCGAAGCACGTTCCCGAGTGTGCACGCCAGGGCATGGTGCTTCCTGCGGGGCTGGAGCCACTGGGCTCTGGCCCTTGGTCCTCTGCAGGCAGGGTCACAGGTCACGGCCAGAGGTCAGTTGCTGTAGACAGAGGGAGCCAGGGCCGGGGCTGGACAGAGGAGCAGGTGGACAGGCCAGGCAGGCGCCAGCCACAGGAGTGGACCTCAGGCTGCCCAGCGGGATGCGGATGGAGCCCGATGGGGGTGTGCGGGGAGTAAGGACAGACCAGGAGGCCTGCAGGTGCTTGTGGCCACTCAGTGTAGACCATATCCAGATAAGAGGAGGGCCAGGGGCCCGGTCCCCAGAGAGCAGATGAAAGGAGGGGAGGGGAGAGCAGCAGGGCCCTGCCCAATGCCAGCGACCAGGCCCACCCGCGGCGTGGAGCACTCAGCGCCCTAGGCTTCACCCCTGCGACTGTGAGCTCTCCTCCCGGGGCTGCTTCAGAGGACTCAGCAGGGACGTCCTCCCTGGGCTGGTGGGGAGACTGCCCCACGTGGACCCCGGGATTGCCTGGCAGCTGTGAGTCCCATGCGGGGGAGCTGGGCCCGTGCATGCACGTGGGATTGGGGCCATGATGACCCCTGGCCTACCCTTCTGTCAGAAATAAGCCTCCCCTCACCCCTGGGCGTCTGTGGGATATCACAGCCCAGGACGCGGCTCCCCTCCTGAGACCCCACACCGAGGCTCGGCCCTCATGGCGGGCTCGCCCGAGCTCCACCCTGAGAGGCCCAGACCCCTCGGCCGGGCTCAGGAGACACTCGGAGCTGCCCTGGCCTGGCGCCTGTGAGTGTGGCCGTCCGGGGAGCGGGGGGTGCTGCCCCTCTCCATGGTCAGCTCGATGTGTCCTGTAGGGGGTCTAGGCACCAGGCCCGAGGAGGGCAGGGCGGTTCAGGCAGGAGGCCCTTGGCCGATGAGCCTCCTGCTGGCTGGTTTTGGGGGCGACTTGTCCCCTAGTTGGCAGCGTCTGTGACAGTACAGACGTTCGAGACGCTGGCTTCAAGGTGGCCTCCGGTGGCGTCTCAGCGCCAGAGCCCTCCCCCCAGTTTCTCTGGAGGGGGCTCGGGAAAGGGTCCCTGTTTTTAAACTAAGGGTTGGTGGATGTGGTTCTTCACACCCAGGCGATAAAGGCCCTTTGAGGCTGTCAGGAGCGGAGCGTCGCACGCATTGCCCTGCCTCCTGGAAGGGCAGGTCAGCCTGGTGGTCCCACCGTGGGGGCGGAGGGGTGCAGCACCTGGGCCTGTGGGCAAGCTGTGGCCCCTGCCGGGCACGAGGAGAGAGACTGGCTTGGCTGCATTCCCTCCTTTCCTGGGGCCCCTCTGATCTCCTGCCCGCGCCCCATAGACTGCTTGCAGCTGCTGTGGGCAGAGAGCTCCCCTGGGCCGCTGGCGGCACAAGGAACCGCTCCGGCTGCCCACCCTCGGAGCCACAGGATGACCCAGGGAAGCACACTCCACCCAGGGCGCTGGGCCCCGTTTCCCCAGTAGACACCTGAGAGTCAAGCCTCCTCATCCAGGCTGGTGAGCGCCTGCCGGGTGCTTGTTGTCACAGCAGGGCCGTCACTGTCGCTGCAGGGGGGTGGGAGCTCCTGAGAGCATGAGTGTCAACAGGCCACTTCCTCCCTCTCCCGTACAGACAGCCCCATCAGGACCCCGGCGAGGCAGGTGTTCCTGCCCCACTTGACAGACCTGGACCAGGAGGTGCCCCTTGCTCCCTCCTTCCACCGTGATGGAGGCGTCCTGTCCCCGGGGCTGAGTGCCCGGCCCCGCAGCTGCATCCTCATTACAGACTGTGACCTGGGACAGGGGACCAGGGGAGCCCCACGTCTGGTGGGGAGTGGGGCTGACCACCGGCCGATTGTGACCCCTCACGTGCAGCCCTGAAATCTTTCTGACAACTCCTTGCTGGCCTGGCCCCAGGGTCCTCCCGTCCCGGCCGGCTGCCTGATCCCATGTGCTCCAGCCTGGGGGCAGCCGCTCTTCCTGGAATGGGGTAGACCTCCAAGCTGTGCCGTCCCCTCCTGTGAGGGCCCGTGACTTAGCAGTCTGCATGAGCAAGGGGGTCGGTATTTCTCACCAAAGTCTCCCAGTTTCTTTATAGGAAACATGTCTTCAGTTAAGTTACTCCCTTTCCTCACAGAGAAATTCAGTGGTGTCCTGCCCCACCCTACAGAAGCACAGTTTGCCAGTCGGGGCCGATGGAGCCCGGGTTGGGGGCCTGCAGAGCAGCTCGCTGATTCACAGGTGGGCGGGAACCACCTCCCAGTGATGGAGAACCAATTGGAGCAGCCTGGGCTGGGGGCAGAGGGAGATCCAGCATTTGGGGGCGCCCCGAGGGAGGGGGGAGCAGCTTGTTTCTGGGTCAGATCAGCCTTCAGGCAGAATGGAGGGAACTAGAGGGGTGAGGCTGCGTGGGGGAGAGGCACAGGGCGCAGTGCCAGGGGCTGGGTCCTGCCTGCAGAGGCAAGAGGCTGCCCCACCCATCACAGCCTGAGGCCCCATCAGTCCTGATTTCTCTGGTCGCCTAAGGGAATGGGTAGGGAGCTCTGCCTTTGGCATGTCAGCAGTGTTGGCACCTCCAGACCATGCTCTCACGGGATGACTCTGAAAGCAGGCGTTGCCATGCGTGTGGGGGCTGGGAGGGCGCCCCAGGGAAGATGGCGGTGTTGGGAGGGGCCTGGAAGGAGACAGTCCTGCGGCTCAGGGGCTCAGAAGTCTGCCAGAAGTGGGCTCAGACAGGGCCTCGATCCCACGCTCCCTGTGGGGCTGCAGCCCCGAGCAGCACAGCTGGGCCTGTCCCTGGGCCTCGGAGCCACCACCACACCTATCAGCCTTGCCCGGGCACGCTGCGGCCCTGGGGGCACTGTGGGCTCAGAGCTGGGCAGCAACTGAGCTGCTGTTTGCCCCCATCTGGGGCATTGAAACATCCTTCATCCGTGACCTCACGGTGCTGAGAGCCGCTCACACCTCCACCTGCTGGAGAGGGTCGGGCTCAGCCTCAGCACCAGGCAGCCCATGCCCGTTCCAGGCCCCCACTCCCCACTGCCAACCTCGGATCGCTCCCTTTCTCTGCTCACTGTGGAAATACACAGAGATCCTCCATCCCCGGGGGGCTCTGCCTCCGGGGAGGTGTGTCCTGGGCTGAGCTGCAGGCCAGGCAGGGTCTGTCCTCTCTGCCTGCCGTCACCCGCTGTCACTTTCAGTCGTTGTTCTCGTCATCCTGCAGTTTGGGGGCCTCCTCTCTGCCCCTGTGCCCTGCAATCGGGCTCAGGGACGCTCTCGTGTGGGGACACTGGGACAGGGCCTGGGACAGGGAGCGGATCTCTCTGCCTGTCATGGGTTTCCATGGAACCCACACTCCAGGCTCCAGCCCCTGGCGTCCTGTGTCCTGTCAGCAATCTGAAGCCAGCCCACGGCTCCTTGGTCCTACCTGTCCACAGACACCCCGAGCTGCTTCTGGGGGCTCCGTCGGCCACGCGGGTGGTTGAGCCTGACGCAGCCTGGAGTCCCAGGGTCAGGTTGGATGTGTGGCTTGTCTACGCTGTCAAGGCAGCAGCGATGGGAACCAGGCTGGTGGAACTGGGTGCCCACACGGCCCCTCCCATACCCTCTGCCAGCTCAGGAGGAACCCTGGAGACGCTGCGGGCAGCGAGGCCACGCATTGTCCTCCGGGCAGGTGAATCGGCCAGGGCACAACTGGGGGATGAGCCACACGGTGGTCTGAACAGGGAAAGTCTTTTGCAGAGAATGACGAACTGTAACAGGGCCGGCCGGCCAGACAGGCTCTCTGGAGATCATGGGAGCAGCAGATGCAGGGGCCGGACGAGCCCAGGCTGAGGTCCACGCCTGGCGGGAGGGCCCAGCGTGGCTCCCTGCATGGCAGGTGCGGGCTCCCGGCTCCTCCTGGCTTGCTCCCTCCTGCTCCATCCACGTGCGCGGCCCACAGGCTGCCCTCACTCCAGCGGCAGACCATCCCTGCCGGAGCACACAGTCAGTGCTTCCAGAAGAATGACTGAATTCACGAGATGCAGGGTGTTCACGGTACAGTTACGAAATCCTGGAACTGCAGAGCTGAAAGCCCTGGCCCCGTGCCGTCTGGACTAGGCCCTGTTGCAGATGTTTGGGCAGGCCCGGCTTGGCCAAGGGCCCGCAGCGGGCGTGCGGAGGTCAGGCCTCTGAGCCCCCTCTGCTCTGCGTCTGCCTCCCTCGGGCTGGGCAGGGTCCTCCCCAGAAGCCCCGCAGGCCTGGACAAGACCCTTCCAGCTCCTCCTGGCCCCTCCTGAGCTGTCGTGTCCTTGCGTTCCCAGCTGGGCCCAGAAGCACCAGGACTGGAGGTTTCAGAAGACGAGGCAGACCTGGCTCCTGCTGCACATGTACGACAGCGACAAGGTCTGTGCACGTGGGGGGCAGGCGGGAGGGGCCGAGAGGTCTGTGCATTCAGGGGACCGGGGACGGGAGGTCTGTGCACGTGGGGGCGGGGCCGGGCCTCCCAGGGACCAGGATGGAACAGCCCACTGGCAGGCCTGCTCAGACCACAGGCCGAGGTCTCCAAGCCCCTCACGCCCTCAGCCCCTGGTCCAGCACAGGCATGGGAAGGGCAGGCCCCAGCTGCCCTCGCCAGCAGCCAGGCCCCTGCCTGAGGCCATTCTTCTCGAGGCCCATCCCAGGTTATGAAAGAGGCTGGAGAGCTTGTGGGGGACCCTCTTGGGGTCACCAGTCCAGCCCTTTATCTTACAGAATGAAACCCCGGGCTCAGAGAGAGGGACTTGCTTGGGGTCAGGGAGCAAGAGCCTTGTCGGCCTGCCCCGGGGCCCCTCCACCCCAGCTGGGCTTTGTCCAGCCGCCAGACTCTGGCCATCAGGCCTCCAGGCTCCGGGGCCTGGGCTGTTGGCCTGCCCCGTCTCACCCGGGGGCACCCTCTTAATCCTGGGTTGGGGTGGGGTGGGGGCTGAGGTTAGGAGATGCCACCACTTCCAGCACGCTCCAGTGTGCGTTCCCTACAGGTCAGGACATCCCCCCGTGCAACCACAAGCCACTCAGAGTCGGGGGCTCCTTGTCACGTGGCCGCCATCCCTCCCACTTCTCAGCGACGTCCTTGTGCGGGGCACCCAGTCTAGAACCCACCCGTTTGCTTGTCTGTTCCTGCGGTCTCCTGCAGTCTGGAACTTTCCTTGTCTCACCTGCTCTTCATGACCTTGACGTGCTTGGCGAGGCCAGTTATCTTGCAGATGTGGACAGCTTGGGCTCATCTGTCCCCGTCCAGATTCGGTGGGGCCCGTTGGTGCCCCCAGCGTGTCCTGGTGGTCTGTGCTGACGGTGCTCACGTGATCCAGCTCGGGTCGGCCTGGTTTTTCTCTGTAGAGTTACTGTTGCCTTTAGCGGCTGGTGCGTGTCTGCGGGAAGCTGCTCTGAGATGACGGAAACCCCGTTTCTCCTCAGACTTTTGCCCACCGATCCTCACCTCCGTCAGTGGGTGCTGCCTGGGTCAGTTGTCACTGTGCTGACCACTGCCGCCTCCCGTGCGCGGTGGAGTTAGTCCTGTCAGCACAGACCCGTGTTCCCCCCAGGGTTGGAATCCATCGCCCTCATCGTCCGTTTCGACAAGTATGGTTTTCGTTACGGTTGTGACAGCTCCCAGGGCCAACAGGTTGAGGTCGGGTACCCTGCGTGCATGTGATGGGGAGGGACCTCCAGGAAGCAGGCACCTGTGAGCCGAGCTCTCGAGTCAGGCTACAGGTGCAGCAGGGGGAACGGCCTTGTGAGCCGGCGCACAGGCTGGGCCAGGATGTGCCAGCAGCACTGCAGGAATCATCAGCCGGCAGTGCGGCCCGCTCCGGAGCCCCGCGCTGAGTGTGACAACGCGCTGCATCCTTGCCACAAGCCCGCTGTCCTGCACAGCCCCAAGTCGACCCCCCACTCGGGGAAGCTCAGGGCTCCCCCAGCAGGTTGGCAGCCATCTGTCCCCAGAGCCCAGGCCCAGGGGACAGGCCATCCCAAGAACGCTCTGGAGCAGGCGTCACCTGCGGGGAGCCAGCGGGGAGCTGTGTGCAGAGCTCTCATCACCCACCCTGCCTGGGCCTGGGCTCCGGGAGCTTCCCCTCCCCTCCCAGGGGTGAGGTGCTCCTGGCCAACGTGTTGGGGTGACAACTGGGCTGACCAGGTGCCAGGCCGCTTCCCACTTCCCTGGACGCGGCAAGACCCGCTCCCTGAGGAGGGGCTGTGGGCACCTCTGGGCCCCTGCTCCAGCCGGGTGGCCCTTGCCCCCTGGCTGAGACCACAGCCCTCACGGGCACGGGAGTGTCCTGGGGCAGGTGTCGATTTTGATGAAGGCTGATATACCTAGTTTTTCTTGGGTTGCCTGTGTTTTTGGTGTCAGAGCTAAGAAATCATTGCCTGAGCCGAGGTCTCACGGATTTCCTCCTGTGTTTCCTCCAAGAGTTGTGCGGTTTTAGCTCTTACTTGCAGGTCTGTGATCCGTTTTGGGTTGACTTTTGTGCACGGTGTGAGGCAGGGTCCGGCTTCAGGCTCTTGCCCGTGGCATCCGGTTGTCCTGGCATCGCAGATGGAGAGAAGGTTGTGTTGGAAATCGGCTGACCACGGGTGTCGGCCTTTATCCCTGGACTCTCGGTTCTGTGCACGGAGCCATCGTCTCGGGGCCGGGACCACGGTCTCCATCACTGCGGCTCTGTCGTGGGTTTGAAGTCGAGACGTGCGGGCCGCTAACTGCTTCTTAAGTGGACTTCCAGCCGCTCCTGTCTTCAGCCTCATCTTCGCTCTCCTAGGAGTGACCGCACAGCCACTTCTGCCGCCTGGGGGCGGGCAGGGGGGCGACCCACTGCCCAGTTGCTTTGCTCAGCTGAAGTGTCTTCTGCCCCAGATCTTCCGAGTCGGTCATCGTTCATCCCCAGCCCCCAACATCGTGACTGTTTCCTTTTCCTCCGTCCTCTCTGTCCTGGCAGATTGATCTCTGAAAATAGATCTATTTACTGTCAGTGGCATTTCAGGAGGGCGTGAAAACTGATGGCTGCCGGCCCCCTTGGTGCAAGCCAGAGCTGATCTGTGAGGAGGTGGCCCAGGGCCAGCTGAGGATGGCCCCCAGGCCAGCCCGCCCTCCCCGTTCCCCCAGTGCTGTCATCCTGGAGCGAGGGGACCGAGGGGGAGCAGGTGTGGCCCAGGGCCCTTTGCCGATGGGGTGTCCTCTGCTGCCCAGCCACCTGAGCTCCTCAGGCCCTGGTGTGTGGACACTTGGGCCAGACGGTGCCCTTGAGGCACAGGGGTGAGACCCGAGGCGCAGCCACAGGACCAGGAGCCCACGCTGTGAGCACCTCGTGTCTCCACTGCTCGTGTCCCTGCACCACTGCCACCCCTGCCTGCCCCTGACAGTACTTGTCCTCTTCCCGTCCAGGTTCCCGACAAGCACTTCTCCACCTTGCTGGCTTACCTGGAGGGGCTCAGGGGCCGGGCCCGCGAGCTGACTGTGCAGAAAGCTGAAGCTCTGATGCAGGAGCTGGACGAGGCGGGCGCCGCCAGCCCGGACCCCCTCCTGCTGGAGAAGACCCAGCGCCTCCGGCAGGTGCTCCAGCTGCTCTCCTAGGGGCGGCCGGTGGTGAGGCCACTGCCGCAGCGCGGGGGGTCCAGCCTTTGCAGGATGCAGCTGACCCCTCACCCAGGTGGGGGCCCAGCATGGGGCAGGCAGGGTCGCCGGCCGGTGGGCGGTAGGTCCCTGCTTCTCCTGGCACCTGACCCTCAGAAGGACCGCCTCTCTCTCCTGACCCTCCTTGGCCAGAGACCGTTCACAGATGACGAGTTTTAACCCGTTTACAGCAGAACGCGGTCACTCTGGAATAACCTAGAGCCGCCACTCCTTACCTTCCCACTGCCCTCCAGCTGCCAAGGAAGTTGCTTCGTGATGGAAATGCCTATTTTTCTACCAAAGATCCCGCGCTCGCCCTTCACACCAGCCTGGTCTGCAGCGTTGGGGTGTGGGGGTCCCCAAGTTTGGGCCTGTATTTGCCGAGGGGCCCAGGCCTGGCTTGTCCATCTCTTGCCTCCCTCCTGGGGCCGTGCCACGGCCTCGCTGCCCACTTCCAGGGAAGACCTGGCTGTGTTTTCAATAAAGACCTGCCCGTGTCGGCCGTGGCTCTTGTCCGGTGTGACTTGTGCTCCTTTGCATGTAGATCGTGAAGAGCTTCTGAGAGCAAGCCTCGGGCCGTGAGGCCGTCCGTGGCCGAGGCCTCCCCAGACGGCGTCCAGGCGTGCTCCTCCCATGGCACTCCTGGACGCCAGCGCTGACCGGCCACTCGCTCCGCAGGCCTGTCACTTCCCAGTGTCGGCGGTGACTGCACCGGCTGCCCTCCCACGGCCGTCCCAGCCGGGGAGACGCCTGCTCTCTGCATAAACATGGGTGCGCAGGCGGCGAGCCTCTGGAAGTCAGGGCGCTGAGCACCCCAGAGATGCAGGGGGAGAAGTGTCCACGCCTCTCCTCCAGCGTGAGAAGCCGGCATGGGGCCTAGGCCGCCCCACACAGCAGACCAAGTGCCGGCTGCGCGGGGTGGCTTCAAGACCTGCTCCAGGTGCGGATTCGTAAGCTGCGTTGTTGGGCTGCGGCGGTGCCCAGACCCCCGTGAAGCCGTGGGATGTGAGCTGGCGTGTTGTAGTTACAATGCCCACCGTGAGCCCCAGGCTCCAGGCCTGTGTGTGGGCCCCTTATTCCAGAATAGGGTCTCCAGCCTCCCTGTGGCCACTCCTGGCCTGGCTGGGCCTCCCCGGCCTTGGCCCCCGGGGACATGGCCTCAGAGCCGCGTCATCAGCCCTGGTTTGTGACCGGCAGGCCTTTCTGATACTTCAGCTTCAGTTATCATGAAACCCCTGTGTCGAGGGCCAATTCTGAACGGCGAGGTAGGGCCCTGGGGTGGGTGACCAAGCCCAGGAGGGGCCCACACTTCCAGAGGGGCCCAGGCAGGTCCCTCACTGCCCACTCGAGCCTTTCCCTCTTCTCACCCATGACCCAGACCCCTGGACTCTGAGGGTCTCGACACCCCACCTCCCACGCAAGCCTCGTCAGTCCCCACCCCCAACCCCTGGAAAGAGGGATGCCGTGCGCTCCCGGGGGGGCGTTCCATCCCATCCCCCGCCCACTGGTGCAGCTGGAATCCTGATCATACACACGCACACGTGTACACATGCACACGTCCAGTTCTGGGGGGAGCGACTGGCCCAGCACCGCCTTAGGCCTCTGTGGCCTCGCAGACGGTCAGAAGCCCTGCCCCCCTGCTGTCCATCAGGTGGACCATAAACAGGAGGCCCTTGGGAACTGGGAGTCAGCGCAGGTCTGGGGGAGCCCGCAGGCCGGGGCGGCATCCTAGCTCCATGGGTAACCTCAGACCGCGAGCAGCCAGGTGTGGGCCTCCCCGTCTCTGAGCTTTGAGGTATCTTAAGAAGTACACTGAGAAGTAGACATACAAGGAAAGAAGATGTACAAGATACAAAGAAGACGCAGATCATTTTTAAGTAAGGAAGGTTGTTTGATCAACAACACAGCCCTGGGTTTCCCAGCAGCCGAGTCAAAAAGGGAAATGTGCTGGGTACCAAGTCCTTGTGTCTGTGAGTGGACAGGGTTGTGGAGAGCATGGTGCTCCCCTCGCTGGAGCACACACCATCCCCACACTGGCTCCAGGAGGCTCCTTCCTCCCCAGGAGCTCCCGTCGCAGCGTGAACTGCTGTTCTCTGCGGTGTCCTCCTGCAGAGGGAGGTGATGCAGTGACGTCACCTGGGACAAGGCTGTCGAGAGGCATCGCTTGGTGTGGGACCAAGCTCAGGAGCCAGGCGGTTCCTGGGGTCCCCATGCCGGTTGGAGATGATGCTCTGATGAGACCCTAGGGGCGGCTGAAGTGGAAGGTCGGAGCCTGGGGCCAGGCCGCCACATGGGGGTGGGGGCCACATGCCTGAGGACCGTCTTTGAGTCTCCGCTTCACCAACCCTGTGAGGGGCCACCGGCCGGAAGCTTCCTGAGGGTGGCTGTGGTTTCCCCTTTCACCCACCACCACTCACCAGGAGAGAGGAAGGAGCAGTCAGCCTGGCCCCAGCATGACGCCATGAGGACACTGAAGCACCAGCTCCTCCTGGCGACACGCTCCTCGGGGGCTTGGTGAGGGGATGGGGCTGAGGGGTGGGACTCAGTGGAAAGTCTGATGTGGTGGCTGCACAGCCCCTGTCCCCCCACAGGAAGCAGGTGCCTTTTACTTTACTTCTTCCGGAATTTATGTCTAAGAAACGCTCACCGACAGGTGTCTCCTGTCAGCCTCCTACCCCGAGAAGTGACCCTCGGCGACTTGCTTCCCTCTGACGCACCCCCGTGCAGTCGCCTCTATTTCCAGATACACAGTGTTCAGCGTTCACCCCTCACAACTACAGAGCAGCTGTCCACCCGGCACGACCCTGACGGCGGCTGCACGGCCACAGCCTCGAGGCTCAGAGCCAGAGGGGCTCCGGGACCCCTGCCCCCCACCCCAGCCCCGGGACGTGTGTTGGCCCCTGCGGGGGTGGGGGCGGCTCCCTTGGGATCCCGGGGCCCCAGGAGCTGAGACGGCCAGGTTTGTTCTGGGGGTATTGCTGACAGCTGGAGTCGGGGGCGGTGTTTTTCATCGACTTAGGAGGGATAATGTGAGCCTCATGCGGCGTGGCTGTGGGCCAGCCCTGAGCCGCCCGCCAGCCCCCAAAGCTTCCCCCGCTCACCACCCAGAGGCAAGGTGGCCGCGAGGGGAGCCGTCCGGGAGCCCCTCTGCCGGCGTGACCCCAGCCCTGGCGTCCAGCCCGTCTGCCCCTCTGACCCATGGTGACTGGGGACCCCCCTGATGGACGTCCAGAGGCTTCTCCCGAAATCACGCGGCCTGGAGGCTGGGCTCCCTGGACGTGCGGCCAGCAAGAAGCAGGATCCAAAACGTGGAAGTGTCCGTCGGCGGGTGAGTGGACGAACAAATGTGGTCCGTCCACACAGTGTGGCATTTACTCAACCTTGGACAGGAAGGAGATTCCGACACCTGCTACGACACGGATGAACCTTGAGGGCGTTGTGCTGAGTGAACTAAGCCAGACACGGAAGGACAGACGCTGTGTGCCCCCACGTACGTGGGGCCCAGGACTCCTCAAATTCAGGAAGTAGATGGGGGGCGCCAGGGGCTGGGGTCGGGGGTGGGGAGTGAGTGTTTAAGGGGGACCGAGTTTCAGATTTACGAGATGAACGAGTCCTGGAGATGGATGGCGGCAATGGCTGCACACAACAGGAGTGTGCTTAATGCCACTGAACTCTACACGTAAAAATGGGTAGGATGGCAAATGTCATGTCGTGTCTGTTCACCAAAATAAGAAAAATACGAAACAAAAACAACTAGGATATGAGATGTCGATGCCACGGTGGAGGCTTTGCCCACCCAGGATGTCTGTGCACTTGGCCAGGGCCGGACCGAGTGCCGTCCCAAGGAGGGGTAGGTGGGCAGGTCCCCCGTCTGTGCGGAGGGAGGTGGCGCCAGCAGCTGGGAGCCACGTCCCACGTCCCCGTTCCCCGTGCTGACGAGTTAAATGCAGCTTTGACAGGTCCTGTCTGGCCAGTTGGGTGGAGCTGCAGACACGTCCCCCCACAAAGACCCACCCCCTCTGGAGCCCCCTGCCCAGAAAGGGGTTCCCTGACCCCACCTTTGCGCCCCACTGTGAGTGAGGGGAACCCAGGGCCTTCCAGGCTGCCTAGGGGTCCGCGATTACTCCTCAGCCCTGGCGGGGGGATGCCCCCAGGCTCAGGGCTCCTCCCCGTGTCTCCCTCTCCCCTGAAGGGCCCACCAGGGCGATGGTGGCGGGGCCTCTGCCCGTCCTCGCTCCCCGCCTGCTCAAGCCAAGGACTGGGGAGCAGAACCGGCCGTGTGTGGGGCTGCGAGGGTCCTCTGGGGTCTACACCTTCCCGCCCAGCAGGAGGGCTCCCCGAGTTCCTTGGCAAATTAAAACAACTACCATAGAACATCGACTAACCGATCGGATTCTTTTGAGAAACTGAAAAATCACCGTGGAAGGTGGTTTCATTTTGACGCCTGTTCTTGCAAATTCCAAGAATAAGTGTCTCGGTGTCTGCTTCCTGCCGCCGGGGCTGAAGCTGGATGTGTGGGCGGCGCCGGGACCCAGATCCCCCGCCGGGAGGTGACTGCGGACGGGGCGCGGGCGGCACTGGGTTTTCAGCAAAGCGAAGGCTCCGCGATGGCTGCTTTCCCCGTGAGCACACCCACCTGCGCCTGGCAGAGCCGCCCCGAGGAGCCGAGTCTCAGACGACAGCTTCCTGAAAGCGTTTCCCACAGCCCTTCTGGAATGTTCCGCTCCAGCCCTGCAGGACGCCCTGAGTTCCTTCACCAGGATGAAGTCAGATGTGGGCTGATCACGTCGGGGACTTCCCTCGAACATGAACACGGCGCCCGCGGCCCTGCCTCCCCCACCCGTCGGTGTCGAAGGTCAGTTCAGACAGACAGGAAGAGAATAAAGCGAATGCTCGTCACCCCCCACCAGCCTTCCCCTAAATGAAACGGTGCAGGTGACCCACCACCGTGAAGCTGGCGCATCTGGAAGCATCCAGAGCCTGGACCCCGCCTGTACTTATTAGGGAACCCTGCTCCCTGCTGCCCGCCCAGGTGTGGAGATCCGTGCGTCCTGGCTCCTGGGTCCTGTCCTCTGAACCTTGGGGGCCGCTCCACTGTGGGCACACGCAGAGACCCTTCTCCTTTCCCCCGGGAGGGACACTCTCCTCGTGCACAGGGGTGCCCAGCATGGGAACCCTGGGCCACGGGGACCCCCCACCCCGTCTGCAGCTGCACCGGGAGTTGCCCCGTTCACTGGTTCACGCCCCTGTGGGCAGCTTCCCTACGTTGTTGCCGACACTTGGCATTGTCAGACTTTCTAATCATTGCTGATCTGATGCTCCCCCGGTCCTCACTGTGCCGAGTGTCCACCAGACGGGGCCTCCTTCAGGAAGACGCTCCGGCCCCAGCTGGGAAACGGGCTGCCCCTGTGCCCCACCCCGTGCCCCTGGCATCCCTGCCGAGAGCTCCAAGAGGGCAGAAACCACACTGCCACCATGTCCAGCCCTTGCCGCGGAGCAGGCATCGCATCACCTTGGCTATTTGTGCAGAATTCAGCAGCATCGCTAACTTCCCACCTTGTCCTCGGCCCCGCCCTCCACCTACCCCCCAGCTGGTGCTTCTGCACACTTTGCCTCAGAGAGGATGCCTGCAGAGAGATTAGGAGTCGGCTCCAGGCTGGGTGTGGGGGAGGATGGAGTCGGGCTTTGGGTATATCAGGGCCTCAGTTTCCCCATTTGCATCAGGGACCTGTGCGGTTGATGGGGTCTCAGGTGAGGGGCCCCCAGTGTCCTCCTGCAAACTCCTACTCATGCTTCCTGCCCAGCCCCGCTTGCCGCTGCAGGGGCCTTGATCCTCCAGGTGGCGGCTGTCCCTAGACTAGCCTGTCTCCCACTGAGGGCATCTCTGTGTTACCCTAGGACTCAGGGTCCTGGCTCCAAGGGCAGGGCGCCTCCTGGGCACAGCCCCCAGGAGCTCCAAGGAGGGGGTGGGGTCTTCAAGGGGCCCGGTCAATCCCGGGCCTGACATGGTGCAGAGCAAGCCTGCTGGGAACTGAGGCCTGAGGCTGGCCTGTGGGTGAACGCCGCCACCTGCCGTCTCCTGCACCCCAGCTGCAGGTGGGGACACCTCTGTGCCTAGTGGGGGGTGCCTGGCCGACACTGGCCCTGGTGGGGACCAGATGGGAGGCAGTGTGCAGGGGAGATGGGGAGAGGAAGTGGCAGGGAGCCTGGGGGAGGTGTCGTGGGGTGTGAGGAGGGGATTCTGCACCAGTGGGGCATGGGGGGCACCTGGGAGGGTCTGTGGGCAGAGGGAGGAGGGAGAGGATCAGGGGAGGGGAGGGAGCCCAGCTCAGCACTGGGGCCCTGGTTGCCCCGGGAGGAGACAGGAGGAAGAGGTCCCACAGTACCAGGTGGGGAGCCTGGAAGAGGCCCAGGGCCTTCAAAAGAACAGGATCAGGCCCGGTGCTCCCCGACGGTACCCAGATGAGGCTGCCCAGCCTGGGATACACAGCCTGGGGTGGCCACAGGAATGAACCCAGTGAGGGGGCGATGAGGGGCCGTCTGTCCATCCGTCCTGCCTCGATCATCCACAGAGCACCCCAAGCTGGGAGCCGGGGGCTGGGGAGCGGCAGCCCTGGGAGTTTATCCCAGCACAGGCCTGATCTCCCTCGGTCAGCGTCCCTGGGGCCTGGGCCCAGCGCACAGGGCCTGGGCCGGCGGCCGCATGGTGAAGGCTGGTGCGGGCGTGGTGTCCAGGGTGGCGGGGCTGAGGCCGGGCGGCGGCAGCAGGCGGTACCTCTGGAGGAGGCCGGCAAACAGCAGGAACAGCTCTGACCGGGCCAGGCTCTCCCCGACACAGACACGGCGGCCTGCAGGGGAAACCGAGGCACAGGCTGGGGGCTCCAGGCCCGCTCTTTCCACGGCTGTGCGGGCGAGCCAGGCCATCTCCTGGAGTGAAGGGGCTGGGTCCCCCAGGGAGAGCCACCGGGCAACCTGAGGGTGAGGCCTGGGCCATCAGGACTGGGGTCAGCTCTGAGGGGACAGGAACGGGGGGCCAGGACTGGGGGCATGGGGGTCCCCACAGGCCCCGAGCCACCGAGGCCCTGGTGGGCAGGCCCACGGGTACCTGCAGAGAAAGGCAAGAAGGCCGCTGGCTTCACAAAGCGCCCGTCGGCGTCCAGGAAGTGGCCAGGGTTGAACTGGTGGGGCGTCGCCCACTGCGTCTTGTCTAGGAGCACAGAGCTCAGCAGGGGGACCACGGGCGTGCCCTGTGGGCAAGGTGCAGGGGGAGCACTGAGAGAGGCCCCCGGGGAGACAGGAAGGGGGGGGGCCCTCGGCCCACCAGGAGGAGGTCTGCTCGAGGGTTCGGCTCCTGCACACCTGCTGTGGCCAGCGTGAGCCCCACGTCACAGGCGAGGCACCCAGTGGCACCAGCGAGGCCAGGTGACCCACCAGCCACATGGCAAGGGGAAGCCCCAGGCTGCAGGGGGCTGTAAGGCCGAGATCTGCCCCCCTCCTGTTTCTGAGGCCCCTTTGCTGCCCCCCACAGGGACCCCTGGGCATCATCAGGGTCCAGGAGGGGCCCAGGGCGCAGCCGAGGCCTGGCCCTCCCACCTTGGGGAGCTGGTAGCCGCACAGCTGGGTGTCGGCCGCCGTGCAGCGGGCCACGTGGGGCAGGAGAGTGATGAACCTCTGGACCTCGTGCAGCACGGCGTTGGTGTAGGGCAGTGACCGCTGGTCCTCCAGCCGGGGGAGCCGCTCGGGCCCCAGCACACGGTCCAGCTCCTCCTGCACCCGGCCTGCAGGCGAGAGGGTGGGCGCCAGTGTTCCCGGGATCCTCCATCCCCTCGGCCCCGGGGGACCCCACCCACTGGGCACGAGAGGCCATCCTGGCCGGGGGCGGGCATGAGGGGCCCGGGGCTCACCCTGCACGCTCGGGTGCTTGCCCATCAGGAGGGCAGCCCACTGCAGTGTGGCTGAGGTGGTCTCCGTACCAGCCATGACCATGTCCAGGGCACAGGCCACCATGTTGGCCTCAGCAAACAGGCCCGTGGGGTCTTTCCCCTGCAGAGGTGGGTGGGGCGGGGCTCAGCTGGAGCCTGGGCTCGAGAAAAGGGTAGAAGGTGGAGCTAGGGCAGGAAGGACGGAGCCAGGACCCGCTGGGCACTGACTGCGTTCTGGGCTCACCGAGACCTCCCAACTGCTCCCTGAGGCCGCACTGTGCGAATGCCCCGTTTCACAGATGAGGAGACTGAGGCTCAGGGAGGCCCCCAGCCAGGAGGTGGAGGAGCATGGCGCAGGACTAGCGTGGACCCCTCCCCAACCCCAGTCCTCCTGGGGTCGTCTCACCCACACCTGGCCCTCCTGGATCAGAGCATCCATGTAGCTCTGCACGGGGCCTCTCCTGGGCGTGGATGGCCGCCGGGCCTCCAGGAGGGTGCTCAGGATGGCTCGCACCTCCTCGATCTTCCGCAGGACGGGCCGGTGCAGCTGGAGGAGGGTCCCGAGCCAGGGGTAGATGTTGAACAGCTGGGGGCAGAGGGCAAGACAGCGAGGTGGGGGGCGAGGGCGCAGAGGGGTGAGGGGCGGGGCCATGCTGCCACCGTGTGTTCACGGGGCCCTGCAGATGTGCTGGGGGCGGGTGGCGCTCGCGGCCACAAGAGGGCGTCCCACTCAGAGCAAGGGGTCCCTCGCCCCGGGTGGGACCAGCAGCCCCAGGACTCAGAGGAAACCCCGTCCAGCGCGGGCAGGAGGAGCCGCCCGACAGTGACACACTGGGGGTCTCGGGCCCCCGCTCTCCATCCACCAGAGTGGGCAAGACAGAGAAGGGGCTAGGGTCCTCGCTATGGAAACACTGACCCTGCCACCAGTCGTTAATGCGAAAGCGCTCAGGGCGAGTGTGTCTGACCAGGTCAGCGGAGGGGCCACACGTGCCGTCGGCGCTCAGTAAGTGTCACCTGCCGTCCCGGCCACACCAGCACCACTGTGCCCCCGAGACAGCTGTGGTCCCTGGGGACAGTTACCCAGGGCATCTCGGTACCGAGGAGCTGGCACGGGAACGGAGGCCGGGGAGCAGCGTTCTGTTGCCCTCGGAGCCACGCTGACCTTCTGCCTCCAGCCTCCAGGGGCCCCCCGGTTGGACCCGGCCACCCTGGCTTTCTCCAGGCGGCCGTCTTCCTGCCCAGAGGACGTCCGGGCCCCCCCTCCCCCCCCCCCACCGACCAGGAGCGAGTTAGAGTTTGGACGGAAGCCTGAGGACCCGAGAGGCTCCCCCCTCCTTTGAACAGGTGCGTCTGTTGCTGACGGGAAGGTGCAAGGATGGGAGCTGGGGTCCCCTACCCCAGCCCCCTCGTTTCCCAGGGAGCACAGGGGACTGGCCCCAGGGCCCATGGCCAATCGATGTCAGAGACAGGCCGTGCCCCGGGCCTCCCAGCTCTGACTCCAGCGCTGCTTCTGCAGGGGGACAGGGGCAGTGCTGGGACCCCCTCCCACCCCGGCCTCAAGCCGGCGCTCAGCTCCCTGCCCCCCACCCCGAGGCCGGGAGCAGCGACCTCTCACCTGCAGGCCAGGGGTCCCCAAGAGGACCATGACCTCATCGATGAGGCCCAGCAGGGCCACGAACACGGGATCCCGGTAGTCGAACCGCTGGCCGAAGAGGAGCGTGAAGGTGACGTTGGAGGGAGCCCAGCCGAGCAGGGCCAGGGGGAAGGGCCGGCCTGCGGGCAGGGGAGACAGACCTCAGCGGGGACGGGACCCCGGGGAAGGGGGTGCCCTGGCCCCACTCACCTCCATAGCCGTCCAGCTGCACCGTAAGGCACCTCAGCTCCTGCAGGACCTTGTTGGCCGCAGGCCCCCTCCCCACGCCCAGGCGGTGGAGGGTGCGCACGGTGAACTGGCGGGCGGCCCTCCAGCGCGGCCCGGATGAGAAGAAGACACCTGCGGGCCAGACACAGGCGGTGAGCGGCTGCTGGTGGCGCAGGCAGGGAGCGAGTGGGGGTGGGCCCGGGTCTGGGGCCTCGCTGGGCCTCACTGCCCTCCCCCGGTCTGCTCTCGGGTACCTGGCCTCGGCTGGCCCATCCCCCATTGGTGCACCGTGGTGCCTTGTGCCCTTGGCCTGCCATGTGGACACCCTGTCCCTCCCCACGAGCCACTCCGGGGGCACTGTCTCCTGCTGCCTCAAGGGAGGGGCCTCTCTCCTTGGGCCCCCACTCCTCCTGGGACCAGGGGATCCCATGCCCAGCAGGCCCCCAGGAGCAGAGCTGGCCCCTGCTCCCTCCAACTCCACCCTGCCCCCCACTGCACACCTACCGCCGCCTCCCTGGATGAGCTGGAAGATGGCAATGGGGGGCCGGTCGGCCAGCTCCTGCCCAGTGCCCACCAGGGCCTCCCTCACTGCCTCGTAGCCGGTCAGCACCACTGTTTTCTGGAGCCCCAGGTGGACGGTGAACACCGGCCCGTACTGCTCTGAGAGCTGCCGGGGACAGGCAGGGATCACCAAACGGTGTCCTTCCAGGTCCCCTGTGGCCCCTCAGGCCACACCCATGCAGGACAGACACTAGGAGATTCGGAACCCGGGCAGCCCAGGTGGGGGCAGCATGAGCAAAGGCCCCGGGGCCGCCATGGGGAGGTGTGTTTGGCTGGAGCAGGGCCCCAGGGGGCAGTCTCCAGCCAGACCCTGCAGAGCCCCCTGCCATCCCCTCCAGGAAGGTGCTGGGGGTGGCCGTCATGGGTTTCTCTTCTCAGGGGACACACTGGAGGGGGCTCTCCTGTGGCCCAGGATGAGCAGTGTGGGAGGGCTGGCTGTTGCACGGCCTGAACTGGAAGCCCAGGGTCTGCACAGGGAGCGGGCCTGATGGACTCCATCCCCTGCAGCCCCGAATGGCCAGTGTGTCTCAGGCCGGCCTCCCCCGCCCAGTGTGAGGACACACGAGCATGCCCGGCAAGGACGGGCCTCTGGGGCCTCCAAGTGTGCCGTCCCCCCAGTCCTCACGGCATCCCTGCCCTGGGCGAGGGCTGGTGTGTCCCCATTTTATGGGTGAGGACGCGGAGGCCGGGAGGCAGGAAGTGAGTTGCTGTGGATCCCGTGCACTGAGGGCCGGGCCGCTCCTTCCAGCACAGGACGGTGGCCTTGGGGCCCGCCCTGGGCACAGGGCCTGAGAGCCTGGGGGCAGCTGCTTCAGGCCAGGGCACTTCGTGGGTCAGCAGCAGCTGCCCTGAGGAGCCAGGGCTGCAGCCCCCTTCCGCCAACCTGCAGGGCCTGGGGAGCCACCGGGCAGCCATGTCGGTGGCTTCCGGGAGCAGGAGCACATGGGGCAAGGGAGCTGCGGCTGGGGCGGCTTGCCTGGGTGGCCTCACGGGGCGGGGCCGGCCTGCACCTCCACTTCACCCCGGCCCGGCAGGCTCCTGGCCGCAGGGAGGGCCCCCGAGGCACGTCCGTGCGCAGGGCCAGGTTCCTTCCGGTGCTGGGCCTCTGCTGTGCCATGCTGCTCCTGGGAGCACCCGCCTCCTCCCCTCCACTGCCCCCAAACCTGGCCCTCCCTCAGGCTCTCACCAAATCCTCACATGCCACCTCCTCCAGGGAGGCCTCCTGGCCTGCCACTCCCGGCCCCCTGCTCCTTAGCTAGCCCGTCTGCTTCCCTGTGTGGGGGGGTGGCTTTCTCTTCCCCAAGGCAGGGTGGGCACTCAGGCCTCCTGTGCCGGTCACAGGGGTCCTGGAAGACGAGGGCGCAGCTTCCCCGAGCCAGGGCTGGGGAGGCGGGTGGGGAGCCCGGTTCTGGGCCCAGGTGGCGGGAGCCGAGCGGCAGGACGGGGCTGCCCTGACCTACCTGCATTAGTGACCGGTCCATTTGCGACACCCGCAGCAAGTGCAGGTTCCCAATGAGCGGCAGCGGGCGAGGCCCAGGGGGCCAGCGAGGGGTGGGGGCCGGGGCGCGGGCGCAGGAGCGGAGCAGCCCCCAGAGCCCCAGGAGGCCCAGGAGCCCGAGGAACCCCAGAAGCAGCAGGGCCATGCGGACGGCTGCCGAGGCCCCAGCTCCCCTCCCGGGGCCGCCGTCCCCACCCTGAGCCTTATGGGCCTCCGCGAGGGCGTGCCGGCACCCCACCCACCCCCACCACCCCGAGAATGTGGAACGAGCAGTTTGCAGGGGACAGCCAGGCGGCTTAAAGCGACAGGCGTGTGTGGAATGTGGGGTCGAGTCGGTGGCAGGGAGCTGTGGGACGGGCTGCTGTCTGGGGGGCCGGTGTCCAGACCCGGGGCTTGGGGCACCCTCGTCCCTTTCCTTGCTGGAGAGAACACTGCGTGGTGGCCGGGCTGCCCCTCCTGGCAGGTCTCGGCCCTCTGCCTCGGTCTCCCCATCAGAACCAGAGCTCCCTGGGCTTTGGGACCCGGGTCCTAGTTCTGAGGGAGGAGCCCCCGCCTTCCCCACGCTTGGCCCCCCTTGGCAGGATCCCTGGAACCGGAGGTCCGTGGGTCTCCTCAACCCGCCACCACCTGTGTCCGCCAGCTCCTTCCTCTCTGACAGGGCCAGTGGGGGAACACCAGGCCTGGAGACCCCGGGGTGCCCACGAGGGTCTACACAGCAAACCCCTCAAATCCAGGGCCTTCGGAGGCACCAGCCGTGTCCCCACCAAGCCTCGGACAGCAAGCTTGCCCGCTCAGTGGCTTTGTGAGCACAGTCACCTGGGCAGGAGGCACCGGCCTGCCCTGGGACAGCGAGGGGCGGGGCGGGGGCTGGCCGCCCAGAGGGGCCCACTCTGCTAGTGGTGCTGGGGCTGGGGCAGGGCCCGCTGGGCGACAGGTGGCGGGGGTTATGAGGCCCTGTCCGTCTGTGCTGCACTCTGGTCCCCGAAACCCTGGAGGCCCAGCTGGGAGGGGAGGAGGTGCCACTTTGTCAAGGAGCTGCGAGGGGCGGGGGGGCTGTTGGCACCAGAAGTGGCTGGGCCTGCTTCGAGCCTCCTGCCCTGACATGAGGCAGCTGGAACCCCATCCCTGCCGGCCGGGCCCCTCACCTGGGGCCTGTCTCCCGGGGTGCCGTCCATGCCCCTGCACAAACCCCAGAGCCGAGGCAGCCTGAGGGCCCCCACCCCCTCCCAGCCTCGATTTGCACACCTCCTGCAACTGGACTCTCATCACCGCGCAGGAGGACCATCCTGTCGCACAGCCGTGGGGCTGCCGCGAGGGAGGACAGCTCGCTATCCTCCGGGCCTCTGGGTCGTGCGGGCTGAGCGCCTGGTACCAGGGCTGCTGCTGAGCACACCGGCTGGGGGTCCTGTTGTCAGCGCCGCCTGAAAGCTAAGATACACCACCCGTGGTTGACATAGGTTAGCATAAGGGAAGCCATCTGATAGGGGGAACCGTGTTAGGACCCCAACGACCCCAGTCCACAGGACACCCGCCTCCTTGTCAGCAATGCTCTAGTTTGCACGTAGCCTAGCTCAGCAGGCACCTGCGTGTGAGAGAGATGCGTGCTCTGCCCTTTTCACGGCCTCGGCTTGTACGGTGAGCTCCCTATTCCAACAGGGCGATAACTGAGCTCTCCAAGTTTTCCCAGAGATGTCCTCTGGGAAAAAGCCCTCCGCTGGTGCCGTCACCGGTGATGATCTGGAATCTCAGGGACTCAACAGCAGATGGCCGACATCCTGAGACGCCCCTTTTCCAGCCCGTTTGCCCTATATAGCTGCTTCCGGAGGTTGTGGTTGTAAGATGGTTCTCTAGGGCACCAGTCCGCTGTCTTCCCCTTGCTGGCAAGCTTTCTCTCCCGCCGCCTTGCCTCTGGGCTGTCAGCTCATCTTTGCACCAGTGGAAGGCCCGTCGGGAAGTCACACTGTCGGCCCAGGACAGTTCACTGAATTCGTTCAGGAAGCATGTATGGAGCCCCCCCACCCAGTGTGTGCCAGGCTGAGCCAGCAGCTAGGGCTGCAGGTGATCCTAAAAGGGCCCCCAGGGCGCAGCGGGGGAAGCCCATGTGGCAGTGGCTTTGCCACCAACAACGCCCCGGGCGTTGGAGCTGGAGAGGCCAGTCACAGCGGGAAGGGCATTCTGGCAGAAGGAACAGCCTGTGCGAAGCCTGGAATGTGAGCAAGCAGGGGCCATGCAGGCAGCGTGAGGAAGGAGAGCTGGCTGGCCCTAATCGCAGCTGTGGGAGCCATGAGGGGACTGAGCCAGGAAGGATGCTCTGGCAGGAGGCGCTGGAGGCCAGGAACACGGGGTCCATGCGCACGCGCGCGCGTGTGTGTGTGTGTGTTTCTACACCCTCCTCCTTCAGCTCAGTGAGGCCTGGGCGCCTACGAATCGCTCTGGGCACAAGGCCCAGCTCTTGGCGCAGCCCTCCTGGGCACCTGAGGAGCAGGTGGGGCGGCTGTGCAGGTGGACCCTCTGGAACCAGGTCCCTGCTGAGACGAGATCTGGCGTGCGGCCTGCAGGACCCGTGAGCTCTTCCTGGCAGCCTACCGTGGTCACCCCCATTTCTCAGAGAAGGAAGCAGGGCTCAGCTGTGAGGCATTAGCAGCCCCCACTGGGCCGCCGGGTGTGTCAGTGGGCAAGCGGGATCAGGGCGGGGCCCCATAGCACCCACTACTCCTCTCGGTACCGAGCACTTTGACCGGCTGTCTTTTCAGTGTCCCACTGTCCAGCGAGGCGGGTGCGTAAGGTGAAGGGCGCAAGCTTGGGGACCAGATGCATCCATCGGATTCCTGCCACTTGCTCACAAGCTGTGCCTCCTGGGGCAGTGGCTCCCTGTCTCTGAGCCTCAGTCTGCCCAGTCTGCACCCTGGGCATCCTGATCCTGGTGGGCGGTTGGCTGCTAGGATTTAGTGTGGACGAGCCAGCAGCATGGGACTGTGGGAACCTGGCAGACTGGCCCCTGAGCGTGGGGCCCAATGGACCGGGTGGCGGGGGAGGCCACCTGGAGCTTCTCAGAGCCCGTCCGGCAGGGCTGAGGCTCAGGGTCATCAGAGTCAAATCTGGGCGACATGGGTGTCAGTTAAAACGTGAAGCAGGCCCACCCCGCTACCTGGGCTCACCCCGCCCTGCACCCCTGACCTACAGTTCTGCCCGTCCCAGAGGTCACAGCCAGGGACTTGGATGGCAGAGAGGCCAGGGTTTGGGAAGCAGGGCAGTCGGCAGAATGACGGCCCCCAGAACGTCCACGTCCTGATCCCCAGAGCCTGTGACCACGGCAGGTTCCTTGGCAGAGGGAATGGAAGGCAGAAAATGGAGCTGATCTTGGGGTGGGGAGATGATCCTGGACCATCCGTGGGCCCAGGGGATTCAGGGCCCAGAAGGAGGAGGAGGAGGAGGTGAGCCAGAAAAGGGACCACGTGGGAGGCCTGGGGATGGGTGGAGGCCGGGCCGAGCCCGGGAGCCTCCAGAGGAACCAGCCATGCCCGGATTGCAGCCCTGGGAGCCGGCTCGGACTTTGGACCCCTGGATGGCAGGGAATGAACGCGCATGTGTAAGCTTCAGGAGTGGGCATTCGGGTCAGAGGCCACAACCTGTGAGCTCTGGAGTCGCACAGCTTTAGCCCCTTAGGGGAGTCCTGAGGCCAGAGCAGGGAACTGGATGGGGGAGGGCCGAGGTTCTAGAAGAGTCCATGGGATGAGCGCCTGTCCTGATTGCTCTCAAAGTCCTCCTTCTGGGAGCCCCGACTCCAGATGGATCCTTCCAGAGCCCCTCGTCCCTTCTGGGGCAGCTCGGGGTCAGTCCTCCCTGCAGGGGGGCAGGCCGGGCCGCTGTCTGCAGTGTCCGTGGGTCCCGAATATGGCAGACCCTGCTGACGGTATGGCCCGGCCTTGGGAGGTCCCTGACGGTGGCCCCCAGGGCCACCTTCCCTCCAGAGACCGGGTGTTTCAAACAACAGAAGTCCGTCCTGCGTGGAGAGTTGTCTGCACTGCGGGGCGGGCCTTCCTGCCTCTTCCAGCTCCTGGCGGCTGCTGGCGCTCCTTGGCCCCCGTGATGCAGGGTGAGCGCACCTTCAGGTCCTCACCTTAGTCACGCTGGCAAGGACCGGGTGGGCATATCCTTGGCGGTGCTGCCAGTCAACCCACTGCGTGTTTGGCGGAGTCTCGTGTGTATGTGTGTAGCTGTTAGTCGGGACGTTTATCCATTTACGTGGATAACGGACACACCAGTGGGAACGTCCCCAAGTCTCCCAGGGCCCTCGGTGAGGGGAGTCCCCCTCCCGTGTGTCACGAGCTTCCTTCTGCCCCTGGGCCCCTCCTCCCTCTGTTCTTGCCTTTATTTTTAAGGTAACCGTGTGGCCGAGGTCAGACGGACGCCACCCCCTCTGTAACTGTTGCCTCGTCTCTGGGCTGGGCGCGCGATGCGCCTTCCGCTGTTAAGACTTCCTGCTGAAAAGTCTGCGTGCAAGCATCTTTGGGCACAGCTGCAAGGGATGCTGTCAAATCAATTCCTAGAAACGGGGCCCTGAGCCTAGAGGTTGCTCCTTGTTGGATCCTGGTGGACGTACCCACCGGGCTCGGCAATGTCCTTGCCCCCACCCACCCACCCACCCAAGGGCGCCCATGATAGAGGTCGCCAGGAGGAGCCCCCACCTCCCGGGGCCTTGCTCTGGGTGCCCCGTCCTCTCGCTGCGCCTCCATGCCCCCACCCCCAACATCCGATGCCACACGCTAAGGGGGCTTCCGGGCTCCGTCCCGCCCTCCCTCTTCTCTGTCCACACCTCCTCTGGAGGCCAGCATGCCCGTTTTCTCAGCACCAAGAATGGTTTTCAAGCTCACGACTCCCTCGCTTCGAGGTCCTGCCCACAGCTCCTGGCTTCTGGAAAGGCCCCTCCAGCCGCCCACGTGGGGCCTTCCTCGTGACTCATGCATCTGAACCCAACCGTTCTGTGCCAGTCGGGACGCTTTATAGGGGAAAAGAGCCCCAAACTGGCTGGAGCGGCGTCCTGGGTCAGATGGTATCCCCCCGCAATTCATGTCTACCCAGAACCTCACAATGTGACCTTATTTGGAGACAGGGTCTTTGCAGACATGATCGAGTTCAGACAAGGTCATCCTGGATGAGGGTGGGCCCTAGGAGACAGAGGCTCAGAGGGAAGACAGCTATGCCATGACAGAGGCAGAGATGGAGGATGCAGCCACGAGCCAAGGGGGCCGGGAGCCCCAGGAGCTGGAGGAACAGGAAAGACCCTCCCTGGGAGCCGCCAGACGGAGCGCGGCCCTGCGACACCTGGATTTCAGACTTCTGGCCTCCAGAGTGGGGTGCGGATAAGCTTGTGGTGTTTAAGCCCCCCGTTTGTGGTCCTTTATTACGGCAGCCCCGGGAGACTCAGAGAAGCAGCATTCAGAAATGGGGCAAACGGGTGACCCCGTGTCCCTCCACCGTCAGCCTCCAGGTTGTCGTCTGGCCAGCCTGCCTAAGCATCGCTCGACCCTCCCGGGAGCTCGCTTTATCTGACTTACCCTTTATTCCTGACGGGGCCCGGGCCATAAAGCTAGACCTTCACTCGTAGAAAACACGGAAGCTGCAAGCGATTTTTTTTTCCTGTAAAAGTGTAAATGATTTCTTTCTGGCAGAAAAGATCATCCCAAAGGTCGTGGTTTTATCATCCTGTAAGATATTAACCAGTGCTGTGTCCATCTCGTCCATCTCATCCCGCTTTCCTGCTTTTCCTTGGCCTAGGTGTGCATCCATCAGGGTTCTGGCATCTTCTTTGAGTCAGCTTTGCCACCTAGCCAAGTTCCCCCGTTAATGGGTTAAATACAACTGGACACGCGCTCGGTATATATTTGTCTGAGAACTATGTTCTCAGCCCTTTGAAAATTATGCTTTGACAGCAGAATTTATTAAAGTGGAAAGATCAGTCACAGCTGGCTTCAGGCAAGGATCGATCCAGGGGCTGGATGAGGTCATAAGGATTCGGATGGATCCCCCTCCCTTCTTGGGTGGGTGGCTTCCTTCTCGATGGGCTCTCTGCTCTGGGTGTCTGCCGCCCTACCCCGCCTCCTCCCAGCTGTGGTCCAGTGGGAGGTTCCGGGGGCTCCATGCTGGTGCTCAATCGGAAGCCTGGGGATTGTTCTGGTCCGACTTGATTGGCCAGGCCCAGCCGGCCAGATGCCCAGCCCTGAGCAATCCCAGTGGCCAGGGGGACGCAATGCTCTGACTGGCTGGCTTAGGTCACACTGACCTTGACACCCGAGGGTGGGGAGTGTTCCCCAGAAGGGTTTGGAGTTACATGGACCTCATTCCACACTCAGCCCCTCCACGTGTCAGGGCGGTGGGTGACACCTTCCAGCCACGGCCACGGGAACATCGCCCAGCCCACGAGCTCTTCATATAATTTGCCCTCCTCCCATCAAGAGCAGGGTCCCTGCCCTGGAGCCTGGGTGGGGGCTCATGACCATGGCCGAGGCGACACAGGTTCCACCTGCTTCCCTTGGGGTCCTGGCACGTAGGATTTGGCCGCTGTGCTGTGAGGAAGCCCACGCAGCCACACGCAGAGGAGCCACAGCCCACGGGACCCTGGCCAGGCTCCCTGTGGCCTGAGCGCACCATCTCAAAGGGGGTCCTCCAGCCCGAGGCCACACGGGGCTGTCCCCACCAAGGCCCGCCCACAGTGCACGAGCAGAGCGAATGACACTGCCATTTCACGCCACCGAGTCAGGGCTGCCTGTCCCCGTGGTGAGTACCTCATCCACTGGGTGCATAACCTCCGGCAAGCGCCTTGACCTCTGTGCTTCTCCGTGTGTGAGATGAGGGTAACACACCTGCCCACCTGGGCTCATTCTTTAAGACATATGAGCTGAACCCCTACTGTGCGCCGGGCACTGTTCTGGGTCCCGAGATCCCATGCAAAAGAGCCCAGCACAGAGACGCCTTCCAAAATCACTTCCCTTCTCTGCCAGCTAAGTGTCTTGTATAAAGCAACAATCCTTTGCCGAGTATAGACCTGTCAATTAAAAGCCGGCTGTCACCTTGCGGTCACCGGGTCTCCAATGCTTCAGCGGTCCCTCAGGGCCACTAGACTGAGAGGCTGCGGGCGTGTGGGGAGGGCTGTCCCCGTTACCGCTAAGTGGTGAGAGCTAGTCGAGTGGAAAAGGGCTATTTGCTGGGTAATAAAAGCTCCATTGTTCACAGCCCTGGAAACGTATTAACGAACAACCCCGCTCGCAGCCCCCTGGTGCCGGCAGTGCAAAGCGGTTGTTTATATGGCAAGAACAAGGGGCAGTTCTCCTTTTGTCGTTTTAAGTGGGCCCAGAGCCCCAGGCCGATCGAACCCCTGACAACTGGAACGGGCTCTCCCTGCGGACCCCCGCTGTCCGGCCCAGCAACATCCAGTGCCAGCGCCGTGCTTGTCCCGGACACGCAGAGCAGAATCCCACCCCAGGCACCGAGATCCAGGGCGTGGGACTTGTCGACCTGGCACTTCTCTGCAGGCCCCTCAGTGGCTGGAATTAGCTCCTCCTCCTGGCATTAGAAGGAGCTGGTCACGTCAGGGCCCTGGGGGTGAAGAAGCCTGTCCAGAGGGGCCGGCCGGGGAGCTCAGTGCCGCTGAGGATCCTGGGTGCTCATCTCCGGGGCTGGCACTCGGCTAGTGCTCCGAAGCAGCGAGGTGGGAGCCTGGGGCGGACGCCCCTCAGAACCTCCAGGAGGACCCGGCCCGGCGACACCTCCATCTCAGACAGCTGGAGAGAGGAAACTTGTGCCGTCCTAAGCCGCCCTCATGTGGTGCTTGGCCGTGGCGGCCGCAGGAAGCTAACACATTCACACGGCGCTGAACGAGCGGGACAGGGTCAGAGAAACGCGTCACTGGGCGATTTCATCGTTGTGTGAACATCATAGGGTGTCCTCACTCAAACCCACATGGTCCAGCCCGCTACACACCTCAGCTACATGGTGCTGATCTTATGGGACCCCCCCTCGTCTACGCAGTCATAGACCGAAATCGTGTTCGTTATGCGGCGCACGACTGTACTCACTCCTTCTCACTGGGCAAACCCAGGATTAGGCCCTGGTGCCCACGGGGAAAAGCCCTGCCAACACTGGGGAAGCAGAGACGACTGACCCAGCCTGCCAGGACCTGCGAGTCTGCCTGCCCTGGGCTTCATGTGGATTGAAGCTGTGTGTGTTTAGACAAGCTGCTGAACCTCTCTGAACTTTCATTTCCTCACTGCTGGGCACCTACCACCGGGCTGCTGAGAGCATCAGACACGGAAACAGGAGAGGCTGGAAGAGCAATGGGCCCACGTGGGGTCAAGGCCTTTCAGAACCCAGCTGGGGCGGGGCCCGGGCATCGATGGGCGGGGCCTGGGCGACGAGGGGCGGGGCCAGTTGTGAGGGGGCGGGGCGTGGGCTATCAGGAGGCGGGGCCTGGAGTGGGGGGCGGAGTCCTGGCAGTGAGGGAGGAACCCGGGCACCAGGGGGCGGGACCTAGGCTTAAGTAGGCGGGAGGGGGCGGGGCCTGGACGGCAGGGGCGGGGCCTGGGCGG